CCCCTAACAGTCAAACCGTGGCATTGGGTTGGTGAAACCCAGCGCACTCAATTGGTACTCGCAGACCCCACGCGCCCACTCCGGGGCCCGTAAAACTGGAACTCGAGAGGGCTTCACAACTTGTGTTCGCTCAGGGCGGTTGGCGCTCGGCTGGCTGATTGGCTGCTCGCTCAGTCCAAAAGCTTAGTCAGTGGCCGAAGGCTTTCAAAGGTGTGGTGTTTCTCTAGCCGAATTTGAGCACCTGAATCAATAGTTTGGTGTGTTTTTGTGGGGGGGAGCCCTTTTGGGGCTGTTTAGAGGGCAGCCCAAATCAAACCGAAGCCCGTGTTGCTTCCCCACATGACGTGCTCCTTCCACCAAGTCACATCACGTCGTAGCCATGCTGCTCCTCGGCGCGGTGTGGCCAGTGGGCGTTTCGAAAGTGAGGGTTGATCAATATTCCCAGAACGGCCCCCGGCTCTGACCATGGGTCACTTGTCGCATGTGGTGAGCCTCAGATATGTGTTGTGGTCTTCCCTATGGTTATCCCATGACGTAAAGGACATGTTGACCAACTCCCAAGTCGCTAAGTGTCAAACATGAGTCTCCAATCCATCTTCGGGCCGATGGAATTCATCAAGTTAACCCCTTGGTCAGTGGTTACCGATAGACCCCCTTTTTGGCTGACCACTGTTTAGGGGGGCATCCGCCCAAAGGGAATCTACTCAACAACTCGGTTAACCTTAAGGCTCCTTTTTCGGACATGGGGAGGTCCTGTTTGTGTGCCGAAATCTGCGCGTGGTATTTTCACCAAAAAATAAGCTCAGGTGATATCCCCAACAGCACGCAATACTCTCTTTAGTGCTCGCACCACCCCGCAACCCTCGCAGAACCTCGTGGAACTCTGGTGGAACCCTGGTGGAACCGTCGTGGAACCTTACCTCAAAGCCGCCCCGAACCACCCCGGAGCCTATCTGGGCTGAGACCCCAAAGCTTTCAGCTGTTGGGGAAAACAGTTCCTAAAACGGAGACCTCACAAAAGGCTGCGACACTCTTTGAGATGACCCGCCGAAAAAGGGATTGCTGGTCAAGAGAACTGATCGTATTCACCAAAGTAGCAAAATATTGAGACGTATGGAAAGGAAGGATGAACACAACATACGTACCATACGGTACGTGAAGGCGTGCCGAAATTGCCCCCTCCCCCTCTGGGAGGTGTGAGAAGGGGGGCTCCAAGTCTCCCAACAAATTTTAGAGTTCCCCCATTCTGAGAAGAACCCTGCTGTCTCCCCCCCCCCCCCGAAAAACCCCGCCCCCCAAAGCCCAAAATGGGTGTTTTCCACGTGAATGAGCTCAGCCAACCCAAGAGTTCCCTGGCGCTGAGGTTGCCTTTGAGACAAGGATCGGCCAGCGCGACATAGGCGGACATCTCCCAGAGCGCCTCAAGTGCGCATGGTTCCACGTCTCTGAGGGTAGCCTTAAACCCAGGCGTGGTTCATTCCCCAGGAGAACCCCTGGGTAGGCAGTCAAAAAGTGGAACCCTGGGGCTGGATTCGATTTGTTTGGGGTACTTATGTAATTACCCTTCCTTGGGCTGTGGAAAGAAAAATCCAAAAAGAAACCAGCAAATTATTGGGTTCCACTTTTTGTTTGGGTTTGCGGGTGCCATTCTTGTGAGAAACCAGCAGTTGGGGTTCCAACAATTGAGACACACGTTGATTCCAGGGATCAATTTATCTTGCTGGTGCTCAGTAAAGAATGACCGGGGCGTTGAGAATGAACCTAGGGATTCCCTTAAAGGAAACCATTTATATTCCCTCCTTCCTTGCTGAGAACCAGCAAGTTTTTTGGCATCCGTTCCAGCTCCATCTTGGTTTGGGCACACAACTTGAGGTGAAGGGTTCCGGAGTTTTGTCCTCAACTGGAAGCTGCTGGACGCCTTCTGTTTTGCAGTTCTGGAAAGCCCTGGGATGTCTGTGTGTGCAGTTTTTGCCGGGACCCCCTTCTGTAGGTTGGTTTAAAGAGAAGCCAACTAGGCAATACAACCATTGTGGGGTCCCCAAGAAAAAACAACACGCATGTCAGACATCCCTCCACACCCAAAAGCTCTACTAGTCGGGTATGGCTGGGAACCGCCAAGAAAATATTCATTTTGGGCCCAGAGAAGAGCTTGGAAACAGGTGATAGGCCCCACTCAGGTTCTAGAGGGTATACCAAGCGAACAAAGTCGCTCCCAAATTCAAGTTATCTCAAGCTTCTCACCTAGCAACCAGCTCAATGAATGTTCCAGCTTGAGTCTTGTACATGTCAAGTGTCTTTGTTTGAGGCTGCCCGCAGAAATCGCGGCTTTCGTGTGGCTTGCCTTTTAAACCGACAGAAATACGTTAAAACAAAAAACAGACACACCCATGTGGCAGCTTTCGCTCGCCCAAGCTGGCGCCGCGCGCCGGGTGGCTCTTTCCGGAGTCTCAGCTCGAGGCCATGTTGGTGTTGTCGACAAACAGAGGTGTTCTGCTCAGCCTCGAAACGCTTCCACGAAGACGCGCCATAAGCTAGGTCCTCCAGATTTGAGAGGTTAGAATAAGGCTACCTACTGATTTCTGTAGTCTATTTTAGCACAGAAACCCTCCCCCCAAAAAGGGTAAAAGGGCACTACTGGGGGACCTTGCAAGGGGAGCTTCCATTTCTATTCTTTCCAGGGATTCTTCTGAATCTAGAAACCCACAAAAAACTCTGGGAAAACAGCTGGTTTTTGAAAAGAATGATGGTTGAAAAGAATGGGGCATCAACCAACACGAGCCATGAGCAAGACAGCACATCCTGGAGTTCAGAGAAGCAAGCGAGTTTTTCCGCACATCCGGTGGTCTGGGGTCCAGTGAAATCAAGAGTCACACCCCCAACGCTGAGGGCAGAGTAAATCGATCCGGAGCAAATCCAAATCGACTGGATCTGCTTAAAGGCTGAATCTACCACTCGTGTACTTCCCAAATGTGGGCCGGTTGAGCAGACCATCTGGGAACGGAGGGTTTGCAAAACCTCAATCGTCTGACAGAGGGCTTGGGCTTGAGACGTTTGCGGGATGCGTCTCTACCTCGCTTGCTTGTGCAATGCAACACAGATTGGAGCACACACGCTACGAGGAGCCGTAAAGGTGCTTTTGACAATTTGATTGCTTGTGAGATGGTTCCCACTCCCCCCAGACTACGACCCCCAAGGAAAATGAGGGTGTATGCCCTTTAGTGGTTCTATAGTCGGTACGTCCCATGCTTTCCTTTGGGGGTAGCTTTGGTGTGGCGGTTCACAGCTGCAACTGAGTCTCGGCTCTGGAGCTTACGAATCGGGAGTAGACTTCTGGTTTGCATTTGCACTCGCCAGGGTTCCGGTCGGGGTTCTGTCTCTTTCTTTTGTTTCGGACCATGGATTTCGCTCCTGGGTCCGCCCCCGAGCATGATGGTTTTCCTCTTGGTGTCCCTCCAAAAACCAGAAACACGGGGGGGGGTTCCTCAACTCAAAAAGCACAACCACCCCCCACCCCACAAACCAAAAAGCCAAGGCCGAGGGGCCGCATGGCATCACCACACCGCTCCTTGTTCCTCTCGTGAAGCTCGCGGAGGCGCTTCGCCTGGAACTCGTACTCCGCGCCTCCGCGGAGTTTTGTTCGGCTCGTAGGGAGCCCAAGCCCGGTTTGGGGTCTTGGCATAGGTGTCCTTTTAGGAGAGATAGATGGCCCTGGTAGATGATTATATTATGAGGTAAACCAGGAATCGCCCTCTATGTTGCTAGCAAAACAACCAAAAAGGACACCTAGGGGTCTTGGCTTCAAGGCACACCAAAGGAAATCCGGAAAGCCGTCTGGGGGGAAGGGGGGGTTGAAAAAGACACACCCAGATTGGTGTGTTGGGAAAATAGGCGTGCAATTTGCTAGTAGGTAACTTGAACCATGCAGACAGACCTGGTTTAAGGAAATGTGGAAAATATGTTCCTGCAACGTCTTTATCATATATATATATATTAATATATATATGTGCGGCATGAACAAGACTTGACTTGTTCACCAACACTGCACAAAACACCCGGCACTGTTCTACCATTCCATCTGGTAGTTGATTCCCTTCGAAACCCAAGGATTGCTTGATGAGCAAGTTAGATCAATTCCTGCACATTGCCCAATCTGACAGGAGCAATAGTTTATGAGTAACTATTGTTTAAACAAACAAACTACTCTCCAAAGAACAAACATAGAACCTGCACAGGGTTAGGGTATCCCTTTAAACTCAAGTGGGCCAGCTGCGGCTGACCACCGCTCAAATGACATCCTTCTGGGAGTCAGAATGCAAGGGTCAAGCCCTGCCTTTGCAAGTTGTGCCCCTCAAAAGACGCACACACACATTATATATATATATACATATGTTGGGGTCCAAGAAGCTTTAAGCTTGTTTGAACAATGAGTTCACTCCAGAAATCAAGATTAAAATACTCCAGAAGCTGAAACACAGTGTCTCAGCAAATCGGCAATCTTTGTATCCCACCAACTTGAACGTTGTGTGAAAACCTTGACAGCTTTTCTGGGACCGTTTTTTAATGCGCAACTTTGATCAGATTCGTGATTCCAGGGGCAAAGGGCTGACACTTTCAATTCGGCAAGTCGCAACAGAATTGTCCCAGGCGGTTCAGCCTTTGCATTCTGAGTGCTTGCAGAATGTGGGCAGGAGCCGGCGCATCTGACTTTTTTCAGATTGGAAGCTTGAATTGGAGGGACGAATGCTCAAAGGCACTGTGGATACCAGGGATTTCCAGGAAAGAGGTCCATGAGTTGGGCACCATGTTGCGCAAATTCCGGCTCACCAAATCGCAAAGGGATTCTAAGCCAAGTACGGTGCTCATGCGTAAGCCTGCTTTCCCCTCAGGCGAGCTCGCTATCATTTGCGCGCCTTAAATGGGCCAAAAAGGAGCCAAGGGAATCCAAGGAACATATCTGGAGCCCTGTTACACAACCCGCACCCATTTGCCTCCGTCCGAGTCTACGATGGTGAAGTAGTCATCCGTAGAGCAAATGAAGGCGCGGCAAATGGGCGAGTGCGCGGCTCCTTGCGCGCTAGGCAAGCCACGAATGGACACCCAAGAGAACCAGCTAGCAACCTTTGAGGGGTTCTATGGGGTCGATTTACCAGGCCCCAACAGGACAGTGTCCACTTGTTTTTGCAGAACATTCAGCATCCCCTTCTTCAAGCCCCCCACCCCCACACCCCAAACTGGAAAGACCAAAATAGGCCATGGTTGGTTCTATGATTCAAAGGCCCTTTCTTGAATTGCAACTCCTTCCCGTTAAAGCATCTGTCGCTTCCAATGAACGGTTGCTAAAGATCGGGGCTAAGGTTCCTTCTGAAACCTCAGGGATACCCACTTCTCGCTCACCTGCCTAGCGGCCCCTGGAAAAACACATGCACTGATTGATGGCTTGCTACGAAAAGCCATCAACCCCCAAAAAATCAGAGGAATCCTTGGATGCCAGTGGTCAGCTTCCCTTCAATTGGTGGTTTGGAGTCTGGTTTGGCGGTCTTCTGGAGGGGTTTCCCATGTACCTACAAGAGGCAGGGCTTCAAATCCAACGAGTGGCTTCTTGAACGGTGACTTTCACGCTGGCCAAGTCTTGGTCTCTGGCCAGGTGGCACTAAAACCAAGCTTGCAGCCGTGTTCCTTTCCCATGGCAAAAGCGCAGCGGGATTCCGGGCTCTACCAATGACGTGACTATTCCCCAAATGAACCACCCAAACAAACAAGCAAACAAGAGAGGTTCAGCTTCAACTTTAAGGCACAGCCAGCAGACAACGTCTCCGATTCAGATTGATGTCAAGAATCAAGACTTCCTGTTGCGCCAGTCAGCATTTTGCTATACCTTCTATGGATATGAGATAAATCGGTCTTGCTCCCTGCTTCTTGTAGGAAACTTTGACTGAACCTCATCAGCAGGTCGAATCTCAGCGGCCGACTTTCGAGTTCTCTGAACCCCCCAAGATTCCATCTACGTTTATGTAGACCAAAAGAAACCAACAAATATGCCTTGAATGGAAAAACTGGGTTGCTTACTGTAGGGGCTGCCAGGAATCACCGCACAATAGTTGCAATCGAACTTCTGAAAGGCTTGACAACCGTGCCTTCTATCATAAAATCTGGAGATACTATATACTATGCAAGGGTTCCGCCTTTCGGCTTTAAGTTTACGGTGGCCAGGCAGGCAAACACATGCGGATGTCCAGCAATGATATCTAAATGAATACCAAAATAATCCCAAACCATTGTTGATTGTTGGCCCCCTTCTTTTGGAAATACACACACACATGCACACACTGCCTGAAGCTACAAGTAGCACAAAGGTCCAAAGGTCGGCTTTAGCTCCTGCTGAGGAGGCGTTCCAGCCTGAGCGACGCTGAAAGCTCATTTGCGCCTCAAGGAATCCTTCGTGATGGCGAGTTGGCGCCAGCTTCGCAATGGAAACCCAGGATGAACCAACCCAAAGGAGAACTTAATACCGGAACCATTCATATGCGAAAGCTCTGAAATGGGTTGATTTTGAGAGGCCCATTTTAGAGGGGAGCCGCAATACTTTCAGTGGCTTGAATAATTCACCAGGTTGATTCATCCGAAGGCGGCACTAAAAGGGGAGTCCTAATGTTTCTCTCATGGATCAAGGATTGCATGCCGACCTTTAATTGGTGCAACGTGCCCGGGGGACCGCGGTGACCCCAAAACAGGAGTTGTCTCTCTACATTAGCTGGAATCACTGGACGTTTGCCTGCAAAAATCTTAGCATCTGTGCTCTTGACCTGTCTAAAGATCCTTGTGACTATTTTCCATTGAGCCAGACACTTTTCTCCTTGAAACCAGAGACGCCACGGATTTTCGTGGGATTCCCTCACCTTAAGCAGCAGAACCCCGGTCTTTTTCAAAAACACCCACTGACCAACCCTCATTCCAACGTCGGACAAGGGCAACTAAGGAGCTTTCATTAGCCATGGATGCCAACAAACACTCCGAAAAACAAAAAACAAAAACAACACACCCCCCCAAAAAAAAAGAAGAAGAGGAAAAAACAGCCATTCCCATTGAGAAAATCAAACACTCAGCGCAAGGGCCCTGATCCCTGTTGCCCACTCGGCAAAATAGGGTCCCGACCCGCAACACATACGGCCGTCGCTTTCGGTTTCCTGCACCTCAGGGAAGCCACATGGTAACCCTCCACCCCACCCCACCCCCCAAATAAAAAAAAACAAAGAAACACAGCAGAAACCGCCTATAAACATGTACCCCAGGGAAACCACATAGTTCCCCCCCCCTTTTATAAAAATATATTAAAGAACAAACACCTAAAAAAGAAACGGTGGCCCCTGCGAGCTTTGCCTTTGGGCCTCCCAGCTGACGCCCTGGGCTTTCAGATGCTTCTGCAGCAACAGCCGCGCCACGCTGCTCTTGCCGCAGCCTGGGGCACCTCTCAGCAGGTAGAGCACCTCTCGCGAAGGCGCGCGCCTTCGCGCGCCTTTGGCATCGGCGATTCGATGTTTTGGTTTTCTTTTTTCTCAGCCCGGGTACGGCCAAGGTGAGTGTATCAAGAACCTCGGTTGCGAAATCTGCTCCCCTGCTAAAAGTGACTATGTTTTAGTGGTTTAATACGGAAAACCCGCTAGTTGGCAAAAAGTGAAAGTCCTAACATCCAAGCAAAATGCAACAAAGGAACCCTGAAGTTGTCCCTTCCATTTTGGTTTCAGGCTTTTCTGCGTGGTTTCTACGTACTTTTCTACTTGGCTTCTAGTTGGCTTCACTTTCGACCTATTGCACTGATTTCTGTTGCTCCTTCTCGGTTTGCAACAATGCGGCATGCTTTTGGAATTTAAGGTTTAGACTGGGAAGTGGCTCTTTGTACTCCTTCTCACATGGATGCGTCGAACAAAACCATCGGGGCTCGTTGTGGATGGTGCTGCAAGCCCACTGTGGTGAGAAAATTCCACAGTTGTCGTCCATGTCACACGTAGACAGTCTTCAACGCCCATTAGGGCCAACAAAAGCAACAAACACGGGCACCACAAACCCATGGTCAGCAATTGCCATTCCCTCTACAAACATAAGCAGGTTCGGGCTCATGCGCTGGTTCTTGAGACGACTCTGCCCAAAAAGCAACTTTTTCCAGGTGGTTGATAGTGAGTGGGATCCAACAATCTGAAGGTCGTGGGTGTGCCTTTCTTGATGGTACAAATACCCCTTTGTTGCCTATTTTGGGGGGTGGTTTTTTCAGGGAACCAACATTAACGCCACCAATTTTTGAGGGTCTCTAATGGTGACCCCTGGTTGTTTTGTTGTTGCGGGGAACCCGTTTGCTTCCAGCACCCGGATTTGAGATCGCCTTGAGCGAGCGGGACTTCAGGTCAATTGCCTTCGAAAGGCTCGAGACCACGCCTGGCTCGAGGACCGCAAACGACAACCGCGGCTGGGAAGTGGGGGGTCAGTTTTGGCCAGCAAACAAAAACATACTTTGGCTGTCAAAAAGGGGAATGGAACAAGTTTTGACTGTCAAAACAAGTTTTGGCTGTCAAAAGGGGGAATGGAACAAGCTTTGGCTGTCAAAAGAAGTTGTGGCTGTCAAAAGGGGGACTGGAACAAGGCTTGGCTGTCAACAGAAGTTTGGGCGGTCAAAAGGGGGAATGGAACAAGCTTTGGCTGTCAAAAGAAGTTTTGGCTGTCAAAAGGGGGAATGGAACAAGCTTTGGCTGTCAAAAGAAGTCTTGGCTGTAAAAAGGGGGAATGGAGCAAGCTTTGGCTGTCAAAAGAAGTCTTGGCTGTCAAACGGGGGAATGGAACAAGTCTTGGCTGTCAAAAGAAGTTTGGGCTGTCAAAAGGGGGAATGGAACAAGTTTTGGCTGTCAAAAGGGGGGTGGAACAAGTCCCGGGCACGAGGGTTGAGAGTTGGGGGGTAGGGAACCTCCAAATTGCCGAATTCCAGCCATGGGGAAATGGGTGTGTACCAATGTTCTTGACTCAATCCAGTGGAGCAACCTTGGTTGAAGCAATCGTTGGCGCTGATGTGAGCCATGGTGGTCAAGAGGCACTCCGCTGCCACTTGATATGTTTAGCTCAGTTTCCTCAACGTCATTCTGTGAGGGTACCCAATGCCTTTCGCTTTGCAAAGTGTTGCTCACCTTGCTGCATTGCAATACTGGGGATTCTTTTGGGGACGCTTCTATAAGCGGACTCGCGTGAAGTACCAACCCTTCACAGGTGTCCCAAAGTATGGCTGTGCCATGGTCAAAACTGCCCATGTGGGCCATGGTCTTCGGTCGCATATTGAGCGGGTGTGGGGCACTTTGGTCCAAGCTGAAGTGAGAAAACAAGGGTGAAATCACTACCCAGACACCTTAGCCAGTAAGGAACTCAAGATATCGAGAACCTCATCACATTTTCAAATAAAATTAGCATGTTTTCGATCTGGGAAGCATTAAGCGCTGTCTGCGGCCGCAAGAGCAACCGCAGAGGCCACACACCGGGGCACATTAAGCTTCCATTCTGGAGTGCATGAAAATGACGAGAGCGAAGTACTTGCCTTTTGACTTAGGCGAATACATGACCAGTGCGGAGGGCGTGATTGCGCCACGAAACTGCACCGCGGCCACCCGCAGCGCAAATCCAATCCGAGTACCGTTCAGAGCAAGCCACAGGTCAAGCGGAATGGCCTCAAAGGGGCTTGTATTTCCTTATTAGGATCCTTCAATAGGTTCTCCAGTAGACAGGTTGGAATAAGGGAACCCTTTTTTCTGTAGTCTATTTTAGTAGGGCAATCCTCCCCCAAAAAAGGGTAAAAGGGCGCCTAGCTGGGGGACCTAGTTCATTTTGTTGGTGTTCCAAGGGGTAAATGACCATCCACACCGGTCTTTGGACCATGGCACGTGTGCTTCCCACAGCACAGGAAGGGGGATCCGGATTTTTCGGCTCCCGCTTCTCGTCCTCTTCAAGCTAAGATTACGCTCCTGCAACATGCCCAAAGGCTGCTTTTACATGAGAAAACTGCCGTTTTAGGAGCATCTTGGGTTCCATGTTCATTGTGTGTCTACAGTGAACCCGCGCAGGTGCGCGGGTGCGCGTGCGCGTGCGCGTGTGGGTGTGTGTGTGTGTATGTGTGTGTGTGTGCGCATGTGGGTGTGTGTGTGTGTGTGTGCACGTGTGGGTGTGGGCGTGGGTGTGGGTGTGGGTGTTGGTGTGGGTGTGGGTGTGGGTGTGGGTGTGGGTGTGTGTGTGCGTGTGCGTGTGTGTGCGTGTGTGCGCGTGTGTGTGCGTGTGTGCGTGTGTGCGTGTGTGCGTGCGCGCGTGTGCGCGTGTGCGCGTGTGCGCGTGTGCGCGTGTGCGCGTGTGCGCGTGTGCGCGTGCGCGCGCGTGTGCGCGCGGGTGCGCGCGGGTGTGCGCGGGTGTGCGCGGGTGTGCGCGGGTGCGCGCGGGTGTGCGCGGGTGTGCGCGTGTGTGCGCGTGTGTGCGCGTGTGCGCGGGTGTGCGCGGGTGCGCGCGGGTGTGCGCGGGTGTGCGCGTGTGTGCGCGTGTGTGCGCGTGTGTGTGCGCGTGTGCGCGTGTGTGCGCGTGTGCGCGTGTGCGCGTGTGCGCGTGTGCGCGTGTGCGCGTGTGCGCGTGTGCGCGTGTGCGCGTGTGCGGGTGTGGGTGTGGGTGTGGGTGTGGGTGTGGGTGTGGGTGTGGGTGTGGGTGTGGGTGTGGGTGTGGTGTGTGTGCGTGTGTGTGCGTGTGTGTGCGTGTGTGTGCGCGTGTGCGCGTGTGCGCGTGTGCGCGTGTGCGCGTGTGCGCGTGTGCGCGTGTGCGCGTGTGCGCGTGCGCGCGCGTGCGCGCGCGTGCGCGTGCGCGCAGTGTGCGTGTGCGCGCATGTGCGCGCGTGTGCGCGCGGGTGTCGCGGGTGTGCGCGGGTGTGCGCGGGTGTGCGCGGGTGTGCGCGTGTGTGCGTGTGCGTGCGCGTGCGCGTGCGCGTGCGCGTGCGCGTGCGCGTGCGCGTGCGCGTGTTGGTGCGCGTGTTGGTTGGTGTGGGTGTGGTGTGGGTGGGTGTGGGTGTGGGTGTGTGGGTGTGGGTGTGGGTGTGGGTGTGGGTGTGGGTGTGGGTGTGGGTGTGGGTGTGGGTGTGGGTGTGGGTGTGGGGGTGGGGTGGGTGTGGGTGGTGGGTGTGTGGGTGGGTGGGTGGGTGGGTGGGTGGGTGGGTGGGTGGGTGGGTGGGTGGGTGGGTGGGTGGGTGGGTGGGTGGGTGGGTGGGTGGGTGGGTGTGTGTGTTTCTGTGTGTGTGTGTGTGTGTGTGTGTGTCTGTGTGTCTCTGTGTGTGTGCCTGTCTCTGTCTCTGTCTCTGTCTCTGTCTCTGTCTCTGTCTCTGTCTCTGTTTCTGTCTGTCTGTGTCTGTGTGTGTGTGTCTGTGGCTGTGTCTGTGTCTTTGTCTCTGTCTCTGTCTCTGCTTCTGTCTGTCTGTCTGACCAATGAACACTTGAATGCCAAACGGACAGGGTCCACAAGTTCCCCTTCAGACCGGAGCCTAACAGAAGCCTGTCGCCGCCAACATCCCCGGCAAACAAGCTGGGTGGGTGGTAGAAAGGCCGAGCACAACCAGCTGTGGGGTTTCTGTCTCTGGGCTGGGCGGTAATCATTTGATTTGGCCTGCTATCTCCGTCGTCTGGCTTCCAACAGCACTCAAGAGTTCACGGTATCGGCCCAAAACACGTTCCAATTTGCATTTGACTCGATCCCCAAACTTAGGTCTCCCCCAATTTGGTCAATTGTCACGACTCTTTTTGAGTGTGCGACATCTGGGTATATGGCATTGTTTTGGCTTCCCCTTGAAACCACACAAAAGGGGCACCTTCAAAACACACCCACACACCCATCCGTGGTGCCGGGTGCCTCTCAAGCTGGGCGCTTTCGGATTCTTGGCGCCTGTGCGCGACGGACAGAAGGAAGTGAAGTCTGACCCAGTGATTGGTTTCCCCGCGCGGGCGTGTGCGCGTGGGCGTGGGCTGACTGCATCGTCTCGACCAAGTGAGCTTGCGATCGTGGGCCACAATGAAGCAGCAATTGTGATAAGCCATGCCCACAAAACCCTTTGCCCAGAAGCATGGCCAGCTTGTGTGGCCCGAAGCGGCAAAATCCATACACACTCCCTGTTCTTAGGAGCAACCGCTAGAGTCTGTATTTGGGGGGCTGGGGTGAACTTTCCAGCAAAACACACATTCATCACTTCCTTCCCGCAGAAAGTTTGTTGGCCCCAGGGCCCCAGGCCAACAAACCAGCCAAGCCTTGCTCCGCCTTTGCAGGGCGCTTCGTCGCTTTGGGCCCTGGCCGATTGAGACTCCCGCTTGACTCAGTGGGATTGTATAATCGGTTGATCCATGCGTTCGATTCGATATCTTGCAAGTGTACTCCCTTCTGTACGATGAACAAAGGCACCAAATGAGCGGGGGCAGTTGCAGCTAGGATACCTTTAGCATGAGGCAATGAGGCATTCCAAGAGCAAGTACACATTTCGGCCAGATGTCGCTCTCGCGAATCGCACCTTTTTAGCCCAGTGATATCAAGCAACACAACAGCGCCGGTGTGCTGTCGGTTGGTGTCAAAGTCAATTCCATCCGAACAGAAGAAAGGGCGCTGGGCAGGTAAGACGATGACGTATCCGAGCGCGATCTCCAATTGCGTCGACTCGGCCACCCGGGCAAACCACATCGGTCCCTGACAATTGCAAGGGGTTGACAAAATGGCGATCTTGGGACCCGTGAGGCTCGGTCACTTTGCGCCGCTCCTTCTTTGGAACCAGGGGATCACTCTTCTGTCAACCCTCATTCCATGTTCTTTTCACTAGGTCCTCCAGTAGAGAGGTTAGAATAAGGGTACCATTTTTTTCTGTAGTCTATTTTAGTAGGGGAACCCTCCCCTCCCAGGAATCGCTCCCCACGGCCTGGCGTTGGCTTTGGCTTGGCCTTGACCTTGGCCTTTGCTGGTCGCTTCAGCCCTGGCACACCAAATCCGACTCCCCTGTACCCCTTGGTGTCAAAGACCAGAGACAACGTTTTTACGGGGTGCTGACGTATATTTCTGTCTTCCCCCCCCCCACAAACGTGCCCAGCAAACTTCAAACATGGAATGTTGCATGGTTCAGAATCCAGGCGAACAACAAAAGGCAAAAGCTGAGCCGTCGAATCGCGCCTGGCTTCGCCATAGCGAATGGTCTGCGAGATTCCAGGTCCAAGGTGCGTATGTAGCCTTCCAGTAGAGAGGTCACAATAAGGGTACATGTTTTTCTTTCAGTCTATTTTAGTAGGGGAACCCTCCCCCAAAAAAGAAACAGTAAAAGGGGACCTAGCCGGGGGACCTAGCTGTTGACAACACCTCTCCTGTCTTCCAACTGGGCCATGCGCCAATCCGAAGACCATGAGAAACCTCACAGGGATATATCAAAGCGGGTGAACCAGATGGATATGCGTGTATGTCTCAACTAGAAATTGGCTTCACGGGCGTGAGCTTTCGGCTTGCCTAAAATGCTGGGGGGGGGAGCGTATCTTGCCCCCTTAAGAGCCCCCCGCTTCTAAAGGGCAACAAAAACATGGAATACAAGAAGAAAACAAGCATCATCCATGCTCATCCTATTGTACTGATCTTCAGGCTGCTTCTTTCATGCCTTTGCTTGAGCCTGTGTGCGTTTATTGCCAATTCATTGTCAAAGATGTCAAATGCAGTTGTCCCTTTTGGTTTCAAAGGAAACTTGGCAAACTTCACCTTGTGCGGACAAAGGACAAATGGCAAAGGCAGAGACGCGTAGGAAGAGGCTCAGGCAGGCAGCATGGCGACGCCTCGCGTTTTTTGTTGTTGTGTGTGTTGTGCGGCCATCTTCCGCTTAGTCTCGCGCAGCTCGGCTTCACACAAATGGCAAGGAGATCTCAAGGTAGCCACAGGGCATGCATGGCAGGGACACTGAAATTCAGCGCTCGAACTAGAAGTCACGCTGGAAGCACCACGCGCCGTGCTGAGCACGGCGCGGGCGCCAGCCGTGCCGTCACTTTGCTTCAATCAAAAAACGCCGGCTCTGCAGGAAACCAGAAAGCAGTGATCGGCACATGACTTGAAGCGCTGTGGACGAGAACTCTCGGGATTTGCAGGCCCTGGTCGGAGATTACATCCACAGAAATGCTTAAGATAATAATGCAATTCGGCTTCATTCGATCAGCCAAATTGCATCGAGCAACTTGAATATCATTCCTCTGCGCGCCATTCTGCTGCTGGAAAGCGAGGCCTGCAGGCCACTTGGGCCATTTGGGCGTGTTTGTGCCATCTGATCAAAGAACCAAAACCAGACAGCTGACCAAGGCTGTTTCTTTCAACTTGGGGAATGGGACGCTCCTGGATTGCTTCAACTGTCAATACCTGCGCAAGACTTGGGCCGCAGGCGATGTTCCAGCAACATTTGCGGGGGGGCGGTTCGCCAGGTGGAACGCCCTAGCCGCGAAAATGTTCTCTGGCCTCCTTGTGGGCTTCATGAATTGAAAGGTGGACCGCGTTAGGTCCAAGTGGCAAGTCTTTACGGAACAAAGCTTTGTCACTATCTAGTAAGTGGGGTGGGCGGAAATCCTCGTCCCTCGCCTGTTTTTGTTTGTTTCGGCCCAAGCTTGACAAAAAAAAAGCACCACCAACTTCCATAAGCAGTTCGCTGCCGGCCGCAAAGGCGGCCAGCAGTCCCTGCAATGCAAATTTTGCGGACAATGGTTTCGGATGTCCGGATTTCCGCCCGGGGGTGCAACATAAGAGAAACTAGCCAAAGGCTGTGGGCGCTCAGTTCATGTCGACATTTCGTCAGGTCAGCGACATCTGCGACGGAGCCAAAGATAGCTTCGATGTCGAAGCTATGGTCTTCGAAGATGCACATCACCTTTCGTCTGCTGAGGTATCAACAACAGCATCATCTGCGAAGGACAACCTTTTGCAGAATTCCTTCAGTCAATTGTGGACAATCAACAAGCATCAGGCGCACCCCCGCACCCCCCACTTTTCCCCTACCCCACAAGCGTCCAGGTGCAAACGAAAACAACATAAAGTCTCAGCTTCAAATCTGGGTCCTCCAGTAGAGAGGTTAGAATAAGGGTCCCTTTTCTCTGTAGTCTATTTTAGCAGGGTTCCTACTAAGAGACCTAGAAATGGAGACTTTTTCTGCAACATGTTCCTAGGCTCCACTTCCAAACAACCGCTCCAAACACGGCAGAACAGCTTTTCGCCAAGAACGATGGTCGATCCACTCGTCCAGCTCCATGGGAGTACACTCATGCCCAGCTTGGACCTGGAAATACAAGGTAATTACCTCTTGGGACCTTTCCCACACATGTTTGCCAAGGGAAAAACAAAAGAACAGGTCGATGGGAAAAAAATGCCGCGGGAGTAAATCGCTAAGTGCCTTACAAGTCACAGGAGGTCGGCCAAACGCACCACCCATTGGGATCCGGCCGATTGGGATCCACTCGCATAGCTCTGAGGATACCTCAGCATTGTGGCCGAGGGAGGCACGCAACGCGTTGGATTTTTTGTGAGGCTTTTTGGGCGCACGGCATTTGGACACCTGCTGACTGGGCAAAACAAAAACAAGCCTACAAGTAACATAGCAACAGCCATGGGTCCCTTGAGGAAACCAATCTTCCAGGTACCCTCCCACAGTTGCCATTTTGGACGGGAGCAGTACCTTCAGCTAAGATGTAGAGCCCTGAACAGTTGGAGGGAGGACCAAGATGGGCTTACGTCTAGCCTTAGATGGTTCGAAATCGAATCCAAGAAGACTTTGACCCCAAAGCCCTCAAGGGTTGGGGGCGGGAGGTAGGGACTGAAAGGCATGCGATGGATGAACACAAGGCAATAGAAATATATATATATATATATGTATATATATATATACGTATGCATATCGCAGGAACGACACACAGACTAGAGTTGACACCTTCAACTAGAAGAGAGGAAAGGTAGGCCCTGGAAGGGGTGGACCATTTCTGGTCATCCCCCCCCGCCCAGGGCCTACCTTCCTATAAAAATAAACAGCCAACCTGGGGTTTTCCCTGCTGTTGCCAATGTTGAGTCAGCCTTGGCAAAGAGGCGGCCTTTTCATGTTGGATCCCCGAAGGGGCGCAGCAGAAGCAGACTCCCCCCAATAACAACTCTACGACCAACCCAATGGGCTCTGTATGGAAGAAACTTTCATCAAGGAGGAAATTTAGACAAACTTTGTGCACTTGAAAGCTCTCGATATGGAAACAGCAGCACCGCCAATGCAGAGCCTGTCATTGGCGAGCCGGCCGATTGCACCTTCCTGTTTCTTACAATTCCTGTGGCCATTTTAGTTAAAACATGCTCGAAAGCCTTCAAATGGTGGCTCAAAGGGAGACAAACGGTTTTGAGAACAAATGAAGCCACTTGAATGCACTCATAACGTCACAGCAAACATTCGCCCAGGTTCCCTACAGCCTGGGAACTTTTCTGGAACCCTCCTAAAGCCTGCTGAAAGCCCGAAACCACCCCCAAACCACTCCAAACCACGCAAAACGGTTTGCTTGACCATGTGGGCTGTTTGGGGAAACAAAGCCAACTCGTGCGAGCTGCCCCTGCAGTCCTTTCACGTCTGCTGCTGCAGCCGCTTTGGACATCAGGCGATTGGCGGGATGTTGCCTTAGCGACCGGCGTCCGTGCGTGGGGGCAGTAAGGGACTAAGGAAAACCACCGGCTCGATTGGGCGGGTTAAGGAAAAACACCGTTTGCGGCTCTAGCATCATTCAAACGGTTTCGACGCATACCCGAGTGACACCAGATTCGCCATGCTTTTATGTGGTGGGGGGGACCTACCTGAACTCAGAATGAAAGTTGGGCAGGCACTCTTTCTGTTTCACAATAGCCGTTTAAAGAACAGGCGAAAAGGCTGACACAGGGGACCCATCACAAAATACAACATGATGCGCCCCTCGAGGTTCCCATCCAAAAATGAGTTCCCACTTTTCAAAAGACATACACACACACGCACACTATTATGTTATTGGTCTTGATACACACCCACATGCTTGGCAGGACACTTGGGGAACAAATTTGAACGATCCACAGGAGAAACCATGCCGCAGGCTGGACGGGATTCAATTTCTCGCCAAAAAGCCCGAGAAATACGTTTACATTTCTTGGCCAATCCAAAACCTGAAATACGTGAGCTTGCTTTGCCCCCGCATTGGTGAGTTGAACTAATTTCAAAGGCAGAATTGCGAAACCAGGGGAATGTGTCGGAATCCGTTTCCCGGTTATTGGTTCCTTTCCCCTTAGCTTCTCTGTAAAACCAGCCCCCAAAGACAGGGGTCTCCGGATATCCCCAAATAAAAGTTATTCAAGTGACTGCTGCTTGGATGGCCACTTGAGGCTCCCTTTAAAGGGAAATGGCTCGGAACCAATCTGAGGAGGATGGAGCCTGAACCCACAATCCTTGACTGGCGGCTTCCCTTGTCAAAACGGGGATTGGAGGAACCCCTGCATTATGATATCCATGTTTAATCCTGCAAGCACTTGCAGGCTCAGGGGTGTGTCTTTGTTTGAGGTTCCTCCTTTGTTTGCAGTAATTACCCCTAGACAAAGCCAGCCTAGGTCCTCCAGTAGAGAGGTTAGAACAAGGGTACCAACTCTTTTTCTGTAGTCTATTTTAGTAGGGGAACCCTCCCAACCAAAAAAGAAACGGTGAGAAAGGGCACCAATTGCTGGGGGACCTAGCCATGTTCGATCCTCACACCCAGGCCTCTCCCGCACTCCGGGTTGCGCCGTAGACTCGCTGGTCTTGTTCGGGGAGTCTTCGGTGAGCCGCGTGTTGCGCGGCACGGAGTGGGATCGGCCGCCGGGTTGGCAGGGCGTAGGAGGCGGCAGGTTGTAGTTGATGAACCTGGGATACCCGACCTTTTTTCTCACTGGCTGAGTGGATGGCCAAAAAAAGTCCAAACTTTATATTTACCACTAAAATGGTCCTCCCAAAAAGTTCAAAGTTCATGAACTCAGGAAGTAAGTTTTTGGGGTGCGGCTTTCAAGGGAAGCCCAAGGAAAACCCACAAACACATGGGAATCCCCCGATTTAAAGACACGGGTCATGGGTGGTTTTTTCAGATGGTCTTTAAAAAGGCTGGTGGGGATTGGTGGTTTGGAGGTGTTCTGTTCCGAGGGTGGCTTTTTCCATTTACTCTCTAGAACCAAGGCTTCAAATCCCCAAACCAATCCAAATCACCAATCGAGGGGAACCTGAGTTTAGGTCCCCCCAAACAAAGAAGAGCGTAACATGAAATTCAACTGGAGACCAGTTTCAGGGCTCCCTGTTAGGTGGACAGAAGGAATTTCTCGGCAAGCAAAGGAACCTCTCAATCATGAACACCCACATGAGACAGAAGGTGAAAAGCTACCGTGGCCATGTCGGCCTCTCTGCGACGAGGCACGTGTTCTGCACGCTCAAGCCCATACCATCCATGCGGTTGGGGGTCAGCATCGGCCACTTGGGGAATCCGGGGGTGTCGGGCGTGGGCGGCATCAGCGGCACCTGGAACGGGCACAAGCTTCCTGATTTAAACACCAAGCCAAATGCAAGCTTGGCCATGTTGTTTGTTCTTTATGTTTTCTTCTTTAACATGGAGAATAGAATCAAACTGCTTGCCATTTGGAGGAAGCGGTCTGACACAGGGCCAGGTTTTCACCTGAGGGCCCTCTTGACACTCGAGTCTGGTCATGGACTCTGTTTGAACCTGGCCATGGCACGTTCATTTTCTTCGGGTTATGTTGTACTTTCCCTGCAGGCTTGAGCGGGATATGATAGGATAAATGGTTGCTTTAGCGGTGCCTTGCATAAATGGCCAACCAACCAGCCAGCCAGCCAGCCAGCCAGCCAACCATCCATCCAACCAACCAACGACCCTGCACACAAAAACTAAGCCGCACTAAACCAGGCGAAATCGAACCAAACCAAACAAAACACGACACAAAACAAAACCACAAATACAAACAAAGAAACAAGCAAGACAACATCCACAAACCAACTAAACAAAACAAAACAAAACAAAACAAGCCAGCAACCAAACAAGCGAACTTCCCGGACTGCAGCTGAGCCGCTTGTGGCGTACTGGGCACCACGCCGGGAAGGTTCATCTCCTCGGTGGCTGAAGTTTCCAACCCGCAGGCTGGTTGAGTGGCAGATTCCAACGTTCTTTTCCCCAACTGATGTTCACCGACACGATTGTTTACAAGGACCTTTCGAACAACTCCCCAGGCAAACGCTCAGACACACCACTACCTAGGTCCTCCAGTAGAGAGGTTAGAACAAGGGTACCCATTTTTTCTGTAGTCTATTTCAGTAGGGGAACCCTCCCAACCAAAAAAATGGTAAAAACAAGGGCACCTAGCTGGAGGACCAACGGCTGATTCAAAGCCTTGCAGGGATAAGGTCCCGGAGTGGTTCGGGGCATTCTGGGGGGTCCGGGCTGTTGGGGATAGGCTGATTTTTGTTTGTGGGAACCCACAAAAAAAGAAGGTCAATCGAAGCTTGGTGAACGTTCAACATGTTCAAGCCCAAACCAGATCTAAAATATGTTCATCATCTCAGTCACTGGCAAAGATGCAGGATGGTCCACGCGTTGATCCAAGGCTGCTGAACAACTCGGTTGTTGTCTGGGTGAATCACTCGATTTCTCATGGAAAGGAAACCCGCAAGCGACCTTCACAATGGGTCCAAACAAAGGTGAGCTATGTGTCCACATTTCCATCTTGTGGGACCTCACCGAATAGAACGGGTCAAGGCTGCGACTGACCAAGGCCGAAAAGCAAACTTCTCTGAACGAAACCTCCTCTTGTTGGTTAGCAAGAATCAGAACGAACCCAAACAGGGATACGAAGGTCTTGATACCATTGCTCCTTTTGGTTTTTGCCGACGTGACCAAAGGGACACTGTTCAGGAACACCACCAACAACCGGCAAAGGGAACACCAACATGACCCCCGAAAAGGATAGCTCCCAAGCCAGTTTTGGAACTCCAAGAGGACAGCCTGAAGACAACAAAATGGACACCAAAAGGACAGCCTACCAAGAACACCCATGAAAAGAGGGGCAAACAAGAGACAAATCGACAGGAACTCCAACAACGAGAACAACAAAAGCGGAGCCAAAAGGAACCCTGGCAACCACAAACAAACAACAAACAGACTTAAACGGCCTTTAAGTAAAGGAGAAGTCCAGGACACTGTCCCGTCTGGTAGAGGGTCCATTTGGGTATGGGTATCAGGGGACGGTAGGTTTTAGCCCTTGTTTCCATTTACCAGGGTTCCAGTTGGGGTACATATTTTTGACCCACAGCCATTTTGCAACCCACTTTCTCTTAGGGTGTTGGTAATTCAGGGTTCTTGGCTGACAGACTGTTTCTTTTTGAAAGTTCAAGACCCAAAAAAACTAAATTCCAACCGAGAGTGAGTCCACTGTATGGCCCAAAACCCCAAAGCCCACCTACGAATTTACAATAATTCCAAAACCTGAAGCAAGATACTAGGTGAATTGTCTACATCACTTCCATTTGCTATTGGATATATTTCCCCAGATAGCTGAAAGCTATAGGGGTTCTAACTTCTATCAAAGAGGGGGAAGTGATTTGCGAGATTGACGGCTGGGTGCTAGGGGGCGTGCAGTTTGGCGTGCTGGTGCTTTTTGCGGTGCTGGTGACTGGTGCCGGTGCTGTTTGGGGCGCTCTTGGGGGGTGCTGGTGTGCAATCCTCGGCTCGTTGTTTCTCTCTCTCTGGGGTCGGTGTAATTGTGTGTTGTTTTTTTTCCAGGGGGGGCTTGATCTTGAATCGATCGTTTTTTATCCAGGGCTTTCTAACCGTTATCCCAGTTGGATCATGGGTCTATGATGGGTCTATGCTGGTGGAACTGTTTGTGTTTTTCCAGGGGGGCTTCAGCAAAAAAACGGATCATGGGCTCTGATTTTACCCCCTTCTTTTTCTGGGGGGCTTCAGGCAGAGGATCATCAGCTCGTTCCCCCGAAATCGGTGACTCCTCTTTTTACCCGCCAGAAGCGGTGAGACACCCAAAACTCTAGGGGTTGATTCCCCATTCTTTTCAACCATCGTTCCTTTTCAAAAACCGATCGCTGCTTCCCTGGGTTTTTGATGGTTTCCTGAAAAGATTCGGATCCCTAGAAAGAATGGGGAAGGTAGCCCTAGAAAAACCGGTGGGTCCCAGTCGGGTCTCATCCGCCAGGCCCAGCTGGCAGCTCGCCGGCTCCCAGCGGCTCTTGCGCGCGCTCCGGGCCTCCGTCGTCTCCACGTCCTCTTGGCTGGGCGAAGGCTGGGCTGCGCTCAGATCCCTCGCTAAAAGTGAAACTTTTAGTGGGTGAAATGGAAATACCCACTAAACAACTAAAAAGCTAAAAAGCCAAAAGGCTAAGGGGATGGCTGGGAGCCACCAAGAATAGGTTAACCTCATGGACTTAGAGTTAGGCATTCCGGAATGTAAATAGCTTCATGAAGATTTGCTTTTCACACAAAGGATTAGCTTCACCTCTTCATGACGTTGATGTCTGAATCTGTTTAGCCCTAGTACGTTAAACCCTGTACGCCAAAAAGGACAACCTAAAAGGCGCGGGCCAAACATCAGTATTTTAAGGAAGAACGCCGCTGGGGTGAAGCATCATTAGATTCAACAGCTCTGAGATGGCTCTCTCCCTGCCTCCATGGACAAAGGCTGAACGAAGCGCGCGCGGTCACGCAGCGAGGGCCGGTCGTTGGCGTCGAACTGCATAGCAGGGAACTCCGAGCGACCGCAAGCCGCCGCCACAGCTGCGGTGACCACGGCAGCCCCCGCTGCTGCAGCGGAAATGGGTTGGGTGCCAACTGCCGGGGCGCCGTGTGAGGGATGAGTCATGTGATGCGCATGATGCGCGTGTTGCGCATGATGCGCATGCGCATGCGCATGAGGATGGCCGTGGGCCGGGTGAGCCAGGTGGGCATGGGGTGCCGAGTGCACATGGGGCAAGTGAGGATGGCACTTGGGTGCCGGGGCCACCGGAACCTGCATCAAGGGCTGCTGCGGGAGCGGCTGGTACTGCTGGTTCGCCTGGGGCCGTCGGAATGCGTTTCAATGTCACATCAACGTTGCCTACAGCTCACATGCCTGGCTGAGATACTTCACGGGGCCTGGAAGGAGGGAGAGGAGGGAGGGAGCCCAAATCAGCTCTTACTAAGCCCTTAATGAGGCCTTCTTTAGACTCCCTAGACTCCCTAGACTCCCTGCTCCCCTTCGCCCCAGCCTCTGTGAAATTGCATCTCTCTTTCACTTCCAAGTTGAAGCGTGACGTTCTCGTCATTCCCTTCACCCCTGCATAACATCCTCTGTACAAACTGTTGACCCGCTAAACGGATGTGGCGTGAATAACACGAAACAACTATCCCATCCCCGTGTTTTTGGCAAACGAACAAGCGGGGATACGGCGGGAGCGGGGATATGGGGAGATTCCCTTGGCACCGTTTCCCATAAACTTAGTCAAGGTGCATTTAGGGGGAATTCTCCCGTATCCCTGGTTCCCACTGTATCCCTGCTAGTTTTTCCCTGATGTTCTTCTTTGGAAGCCAAACGTGAGCCATTTGCCATCCAGCATAACGAGTTCCCCCCGTCGACGTGTCAAACAATTCGCCGCCCCAACCCGCCCCCCTCCCCCGCCTTGCACTGATTCGCCGGACCAACCACATAGCCGTGGCCCTGGAGCCGCACGTGGCACACGTCCTGACCACCGCACGCAACATCCAGTGTCCTGGTCCAGTAACGTGACATCCTCAAGTATACAACGTACATATATCTAAACACTGCCTAAATGTCGGTTTAAAGGGAACCACCCCCAAACCTGAGTATTGAGAACCCTGGAACACAATTATTCCACTGACCCCTTGTGGCAATGCATTTCATTGGAAAGGGCAAAGGGTACCCATTGATGCTGATGAGTCGAAAGGTGTTTGGGGTGCAAAGTAAATTCTACTAGGTGCCCATTCCGAAGTGTCCTTTGAAATGATAAGTCCCAACATGTCCCAACGTTCAATGATCAGAATCAAAGTGACACCAGTGGAATCCGTACCTTTCCACCAAATTGAAAATTGAAACAAACGGCATCGATAACTTTTGGTTTGTATTGGCCTCTAGCCCCCATGAAAACAGACAGAACCACCTATTGGGTGGCCACGAGACGGTGTTGGGCGCCTGCCGTCTGTACCCCTGCGCCGCGATCCCTTCCAGAATATAGCTATCAGCCATGTTTACATAGGTGTCCCTAGAAAAAGTTGTATAGCAACTCCTTTTCTTTTCCCACTGTGGGTGGCTCGTCTTTTTGCTCGGGGCACCCAAATGCTAGTTTTCCTGGTGGCTTCCCTTAGACAGCTACCACAAAGGGAAACCCTCAAACATAAGGCACCCCCATATTTCTCTTTCTGCATTTGCCTGCAAACATCAAAACCGCCACGGGAAACTGGTGTTGTCCGACTGACAGGGCTTCCCTCAATTTCCCCAACATCACACCACTCAAATACTCTCACTTTAAAATGAGCCGAAACGGTGATGTGTCAAACCAAAAGGGGAACCATGGCTTCTCAGAATTTGGGACCCCGAGAAAAGGGGCGTGGTTGGCTCCCCCTCAAAACCATGGAATCATCATTTGGGGACTTTCAGAAACATAGGGAAAATCGTGGCCCCTAGCAATGGTTGGTTCGTTCCTTTTATCAAGGCCTCTGAAATCCATTAAATGAAAACCCCTCCCCCCGCACGTCGGAGTTGAGTAATACTCCTTCGGCCTCAGAATGGGCCCATGGGCAGCTCTTCCCATGTGAAGAGTGAAATCTCTTTTGGGAGGTTTCGTCTTCTGGTCGTCCCATAGGACCGTTTGATCAACCTCGACCTTAAGTGGTTCGCCAACTGAGTTGCCCACGAATGACTAGTTTAGGTTTACAAATTAGCTGACTTGGGTTGCCAATAGCCTAGGTTACTAGGTGACCTGTAGATTACCTATATAATTAACCTAGGTTACTTACAGTATCACCTATTAGGTTCACCCCCTCCCAACATCCCACAACCCGCCCGAAACGAACCCCCCCCATCCCCGGAGCGAGCCGTTTCCCGTTTCCCGGGTCCTTGAGGCGTATGTCCTGCAGCAGCTCCGAGAGCTTGGAGTGTCCCAGGGCCGTCTCCGAGAGTTCCTCGGGAGCGAGCCGAGAGCCGAGAGGCGTCGGCATGGGAAACGCGGAGGGGAGGGGGGGGCGGGAGCTAAACGGGAAAAACCGGTGGGGGGAGGGGGGAAGGGGGGGAGAAAGGGGGAGAAAGGGGGAGGGGGAGGGGGGGGGGGATGGGGTTTGGAGCAAGCCAAAAGGGGAAGAAAAAAAACGGTTTGGAGGAAGTGGTCGCGAAAAAAGAGGGGGCGGGAGGACACGACACGACACGACACAACACACCACAACACACACACACACACAACGCACACTTCCGAAGCGTTCCAAGCGGATCCGAAGCGTTCATCTGCGAAGCGGCCGTGTGGTAGCGGGACCGGAAGAGGCGCTTCACGTTGGACAAGGGGATGGTAGAGGAGCCGCAGCTCGCCAAGATCTCCTTGAGGCCCTCCTTCACCTGACATGGCCCCGTGGTGGTCAAAACCAACGGGATCGATCCCATTTTGGGGCAGGCGCACCACCCAATTTAGGCTATTTTAGGGGGGATAAACCGTTTTGGATCCAATTTTGGTTGGTAGGTGAATTCACCACCCATGTTAAAACCCATTTTAGTGGTTGGATTGGGAGGTACGATTTGGGTGTTGACCCAGGGCCAAATCGAGACCGAATGGCACACCTCAAAAGCACGGTAAAGGAAAACAAGAGCTACAAACTCGGTTGGTTTCTGCTCCCCTGCTAAAAGTTTAACTTTTAGTGGTTTAATGAAAAACCCATTAGTTGGCAACAAGTTAAAGTCCTAACATCCAAGCAAAATGCACCAAGGCAAACATGACGCTCTTGTTGATTGCACCTTTCTTTCGCTTCCCTTCAACGCAAACCTCAACAAGAGCCCCAAACGGGAAATCCCTAATTTGATTCTTATTTGAGTAACCTCTCCAAAAGGGACAAAGTCCCCCTGCCGATTAGCAAGTTCTCAGATGCCCAGTAGCCATGGGAAGAAAGGGCATCGGGCATCTTTTTTTGTTGGTTGACTTTAAAGGGGAACCCTTACCCAAAACGGAACAAAAGGCACCACTGGGCCACTGGGTGTCGGCTTTTCTCCGAAAAAAAACCTCCCATCTTCTGCCTTCTCCCAGTTCGCGAGGTCGGAGCTGGTGTTCCTCGCCGTGTTGGTGCAGGGCCGCTGCTTCTCGGCACAGCGCTCCTCGAAACGGCACCGGACGGCCGGTGGAAGGCGTCGGTCAACATCGAGGAGAGCTGAGGACAGGGGAAGCAAAACTCGGAGTCCTCTGGGTGTGTGGGGCGAATTTTGAGCTCATTCCCCATGTCCGCAAATGGATGTGGTGAGTTTGACTGATTTCTGGCCAACACTTCGACAACAAATGGGAACCTTGAGTTGGCCCATCACGGAAAAATCCACCGTCCCTAAGTAAACGCGTGGAATACATGGCTCATGTGACATCTTTGTCTCGGGGCCCGCAAAATGGCCCTGTCTTGGGCTACCTCATCTTTTTGTTCGCGCAGTCGAGTTTCTTCCAAGTGTGCTATTCTGACGTCACTTTGCCCCTTTTCTCTGCCGGCCTCGCTTCTTGACTACCTCAGCTTGTGCCCACTGCCAAAAATCAACTATGAAACTCTGGCCCTATTCCATAAACCTTTGAACATAACCTTTGGTAGGTTGCACCTCTCTTGGAGTGTGCGGGTTGTAACCGCTAGACAATGTCCCTTTCTCTGATACCGAAGCGGGAAATCCCTGAAATGAGAACCCCCCCTTCCACCTCCCCACCCCCACCCCCACCACAGTTAGGGTGGGCCTTGCCCATCTTTTTATGGTATCCTAGCGTAGCCCCCCCCCTACGCAAGAACAGCACTTTTCAACCATTTTTTCACTATTCAAATCGTCATCCTTATTCATTATGCATATTTTCCACTCAAAACATTTCATAACAGTCTCAACCTCAAAATCCATCAAAAAAGTCACATTTTCTCATTTTCTATTCCATCATTCTTGTCATTGTTAGGATGCTTGAGTGGAAATAGGAGTATAGGGTGGTTCATATGATATGGTTATTGATGGTAGGATGCATGGGCAAGGTTAAGCTCATTCATAAAAAAAAAAAAAAAAAAAATATTTCTCAAAAAATAATATTTCTCAAAAAAAATATTTCTAAAAAAAAATATTTTCAAAAAAATAATATTTTCAAAACATAATATTTTCAAAAAAAATTATTTTCAAAAAATAATATTTTCAAAAAAAAAGTATTTTTCCAAAAAATATTTATTTATTTTTAAAAAATAAATAAATTTTCAATAATATTATTCCAAAAAATATGATAAATTATCTTACAATATTTTTATCATACATTTTGTAGAAATATTATGGGCAAGGTTATGTTCATTCATTAAAAAAGAAACACAAAAACAAATTTTATAGAGTATAACTATGGTATAATGAAAGGTTATAAAGTTTTACAATGTTAATTTATATTATAATAACATAATATAAATAAACTGTCGCCCCAAAAAAGGGGGAACCCCACCTAATTTCAAGAAAAACATGCTGTTTTGTCGTTGGATTATTATCTATGAATAAACCCCCGTATCTTCATCATAGTCAATTTGATAAAATGTCATAGTTGAAGCCTTCGGTTCTTTAATTTCTTTGTTATTAAGTTTGTTTAAATAAATATTTCTTTTATTTTTATATTCACCATTGGTTCTATCTACTTCTTTACTTTGATAACTGTTTGTTAAAGGTTTCTTCTTTTCCATTTCTTGCCAGATTTCTAAAATATTCTTATTCTGCTCTAAAACCTTGTTCAGTTTTTTAACAATCTTTTCTAATCCTTCATCCATGTAAATATATATATATTATATTATAAAATAAAACTTTTAAAACTAAACCTTTATTTTACAAAATCATATATCATTATAAGTCAATTCAAAATTAGTTATTGTGTAACTCGTTAACTTATTATTCAATTTACCAATTAAATTACAAATAATAGTTTTTCTAAATTTTGAATATTTATGAAACTTTTCAATATTATCTGTAATATAAGTTATTAAACATTTAATACATTCAAACACATTAACAACATTAATGTTACTATTTTTGTAAATATTATTCATTTTTCTCAATGTAATTTCATAAAACTGAATAGCATTTTTATTATCATAATTAGCAATAAATCTTAAAGTATATGAATATATTATTTTACAATAAAATTTTAAATCTGATTGTTCAAATAAATCAGCATAAGTAATAGAATTATAAAACATGTTAAAATCAATTTTACTATTTCTAAAGTCATTCACAAAATTAATTAATATATCATTTTCGTTATATTCTTCAATAAAATTATTTAATTTCAATTCTTTTACATCAATGAATTTAAGAATATTATTTATAACATCTTGCATTATAAATAATAATAGAACTAATTTTAACTAATATTTTTCATCATTTCGCGTATAGTTTCCTGAGTTTCCTTATCGCCATTATCGGATGGAGTAACTCCCCTCCCAAAGCGTATAGCAATATTATGAACATCTGTTTCTAAGTTGATACTGTCTTTAGTTTTATCAATATTCATTTTCTTATCATTCTTACTTAGTTTGAAACTTGTCGGAATACACGAACATTTACAATTTCCTTCCTTTTGAATTTCTAATTCATTTTTCATTTCTAACATCTTTTTACACATTGGACAAGCAAACTCAATAACTGATGTTTCTTTAACAACTTCTTCTTTTTCTTCAACTGATGAAGAAACAACTGGTTCAGTCTTATTCTTTTTCTTTCTTCCCATTTATATTAATATTTACATTTTTATTTTTGATATATTGTATCACAAACTTAATTATTTCTAAAACAAAATAGCATATTTTCTTGCATCTATTATCAGTTATAACAACTTGTTCTAAATTCTCTACTTCATCTATTATATCAATATAATCTGAATAGCTTCTATTCATATAAAATAATAAATATAAAATATTTTCTAAATAACTTTAATATTATTTTATTATGTCAGATGTTCCAATAATAAAGCCAATAAACATAACTGAATATGAATTCAAACAATCTAAATATGAGCACGTGCCAAAATTACCATTTAGAAGTATTATAGTTGCGAGTTCGACAGGTGGCAAAACAGTCTTGGTTCAGAACCTTATCTTAAATGTCTATAGAAATTCATTTGCAAGAATATTTATATTTTCCCCCAGCGTTCATAATGACCCAACCTTTACAGAAGTTAAAAAATAGATCAGGGATGAATTGCACGTGGATGATGAAAAAGAACAAATTTATTTTGATAATTATAATCCAAGTGATTTAGAAAATGTAATTGAAAGACAGAAGAAAATAATTAATTATATGAAATCTAAAAAGATAAAGAAACTACATTCAATATTAATCGTTATAGACGATCACGCCGACGATCCTAAATTTGTTAGATATAGTAAATTATTACATGGATTATTTACAAGAGGTAGGCACGATGCAGTAAGCGTAATTTGTTCAACACAGAAATATAATGTGTTGGCGCCTATCATTCGTTTAAATGCCAGTTCATTATATATTTTTAGGTTGAAAAATGCCAGTGAATTAATGAGTTTTATTGAAGAAAATAGCGCCATTGTTGACAAACAGCAATTATTAGATATGTATCATCAAGCAGTGAATGACGCACCTTATAGTTTCTTCTACGTGAATATGAATGCTAAGAATGTGAATGACATGTTTTTTCTCCGTTTTGAACAGGCATTTCAAATTACAAATGATGAATAAAGATATTCTAATTTAATATAATATAATAATATGCCAATGAAACTATGTAGATGTGGTGGATTTTATCGTAGAGGTAATTACAATTTTCATACTAATTCTTGGATACATAAACTTTATAAAGTGTTAAAAAGACGACCAACAGACGAGGAATTATTAAGATTTCAAAATAATTTTGTTGATGAAGAAGATTTAATAGATGATATGTGTAGCAACGCCTCAACAAAATTACCCGAAAGTGAAATGACAGATTATGATAGTAATTAATAATATTAATGTATGTTAATATTATCAATTTAGAATAAAGAATAGCTACATAAATTTAAGGCAGGAAATTTATAATATGTTTTATCTTTTTTACATTCATTAATTTTTTCTAATTTATTTATTATTGCTTTCAATGAATTTATTTGTAGAATATCAATTCTTGACATTTCACTTATCGTATTTACATCTATATATCTTTTATTACTTTAATAGCCTCTTCATCATCAATTTCTACTGGTTTTGATTTACTTGAACCCATTATATATAATATTATTTAGATGTTAATTTTTCAAAATTATCTTTTTGTTTTTCTTCTCCGTCTTCTTCTTCGTCTTCAGTTGGTGCTGGTATTTCTGTTGGACTTTCAGATGAAGAACTATGAACAGTAATAGGTGGAGAACTATGAACACTAACAATTTCATTAGAAGAACTACTGCTACCTTGTGCATTTCCTGCTGTTATTTGATTAACTAAATCTGCGATATTTATTGTTGTTGCAATTGCGCTATGTGATAAGTTTAATATTATATCTGCTACTGTAGCGCCGTTGTGTAGCATTATTTCTATCATTTTTGTCAGTTTGAATCTTTTTTCTTCTTCATCGCTGTCCTCCTCGTCTGGTGGTTTCTTTGGCGGTGGTTCTGGTGGTTTGTTGTTGTCAAGCATTGCAGTAAAGGCTGACACCATTGCATCGCGTTGGTTTTTCAGGGTTTGTGTTGCTTGCGTTCTTGTTGGCTCATGTCTTTTGTATGTGTTGTGCCAAAAGTTTTTAAGCATTATTTTAAACATATTGTCTTGGTTTTCCTTTACCTTAAACGCTTCAAATGTCATATTTAATTGCTGATTTGCATCATTGTATAACTTTTCTTGAGTCTCTCTGGTTTCTGTTGCAATTGTATCTGTATTGGTTGCAATGTCAATAAATTCTCTCGGTATGCCTTTTTTCATCATTTTCGGTGGTTGTATTGTTGTTGGTGTGTTTGGTTTTGTTAGGTTATGTATTGAAAAACTGTCGTCGTGATCATATTTATCATTGAACTTCTGCTTCTTTCTTTTCAGTATATTTTTAGTTAATATTATCATTATTATTACTATGTATATTTTTATTTCTTACCTTTTCCCTTAAAACTTGCCTTGAGTTCTTC